AAGTAAAATTATCCCAGCTACAATGACAGACAACAAATTTTATAACATTACAACTAAAACCGTTTTTGACACTGCCACCGCAGTTTGTCCTTCATGAGCCTCCGTAGACAAGATGGCAGTGCAAGATGGCGGCTGCCTGTAGTGGCGACCCGCGACCATGGAGATATAAACAGCTTTTTATAAGGTAAAAATAATAAAACAAGGTCTTTGTCTGCAATGATTAGACATGTTTTTTTTATTATTGTCATTAGTGATTATCTCAATTTCGGCTAAAAGAATTGACAAAATCCTACCCACTGTGCCTTTAACTAGTGACTAAATAGCTGTTGGTTAGTTAACTCACAGGAACATCACAAGCTGGAGGATGTATTGGCAAATTTGTCTATTCAAGCTATAAAAAACTAATACTAGAACTAATAAAAACTAAACTAAGCATTAAAAATGCAATAATAACTAATACAAACTAGCAAATCCACTGTAAAAACTAATTAAAACTAACTGAACTAAAAGAAAAAATGTCACAACGAAATAAAGCTAAACTAAAATGAAAAATCCAAAACTATTATAACCTTGCCTGCAACTGAGGGGAAACATTTTTAACCTGCTCTCAGGTTTGGGATGCTGAGTGATGAAGAGGTGCCTCAGGCAGACAGCATCCTGAAGGCACTGGCAAAGCACCTGGAAGTCAAACTTTCCTTTGGTGAGTTCTCTGCCCTGAGCCACAACGCTTCTAAGGAAACACAAACTCATCTCCCTTCCCTGTGCTCAGAAAAGGCTGAACGAGACATGATCATCTTGAGGAACGATGTGGGGATTCGACATCCCACGGGTGAGCTGGAGACCAAACACATCAGCCTGGTGGTCTACGGGGACCCCAACGGTTTCTCTGCCATGGCCAAGACTGTAGGGTACCCAGTAGCCATTGCTGCCCGCATGATCCTTGATGGTGAGCGAGTGTGTATGTGTGTGGGTCAAAGGTCAAACAGACACAGAGCTGTGCTCGTCTTCAGGACCAGAACAGTTTTTCAGACAATAAAACTTAATTTCCCAAACAGTAAACTTACAAATGCTTTAATGTCTGAAATAAGTCTGAAGAAAAGTCAGATGAGGTCTGGAGAAGTGGGAAGTGTAAAATGTTCAGGAAGTCTGTTTTTAATCTTGTTTTCTCTGTAGGTGAAATTCAAACAAAGGGTCTGGTGGTCCCAATGACCAAAGACATCTATAAACCAGCACTGGCCCGTTTGAAGGACGAAGGACTGAACATCAGGACTAAGAGCACTCTGCAGGACTGAGACCAGAGAAGTCCCTGACATCCATAAAAACTGCCTGTAAAATTGTTGCTTTTTCACAGTTTTTATTGAAACGTTTTCAGTCTTCTGTAAACCTGGTTTTCATCGTTTGTTTGATTTTCCTGCCAGGTTTTCCTGAACCATCTTCTTATATCTGCCTCTAAATGTGAATGTTTGAGTCATGGTCAAAAAGAAATGTAAATCCACTAAAGTTGGTTTTATTGTTACAAAATGTGAATTCATGGGGTTTGTAGTTGGCGTTAGGTCAGACGTGGCAGCTGTGGATGTTGACTGATCCAGTATTACACCTGTTAGTCTTTTTCTCCTCAGTAAACAGAAACGTTTCTTTAAAAGATGCTTCAGGCTCGCTGGTAAAATGCTGTTTTACTCTGTAGAAAACTGTAAACGTTGTGTCCTACTGTAGTAACCAGGAGTTTTTTTTTCCTACACTTTCTGGTAGTTTGATGTGTGACAGACACCATATTGGTGTTAGGAGTTGTGAATAAACCAGCAGTGATCAGTGATGATCCTCACTGATCAGAGGACCTTTCTGTTCAGTTGAAACCAAACGTGACTCTGATGGAGCCTTTATTTATACATCTGTTACATGTTGCTGTGGATTTAACAGTTTGGAAAAAGAAAATGTAAATTGATGAAATGTTATAACACTAATGATGGCTGATCTTCTAGTGTGTCTGATGAAACTCAAATTGCTCAAATAAAGAGCTTCCTGTCAGCTCCTGACTGGATCGTTCTGTTTGACTCTGCAGGGCTTTTATGCGTTCATCATAAAATAACTTAAAGCAGATGTTGAGCTCTACCGCTCAAGGACAATTATTTCTCTCTGAATCTGAAGGGGGTGAAGCTTCTGCTGTTCTTACATTTATCTCCATGTTTTTATAGACTTAATGGATTTAATTAAAACCACCGGAGGACTCGTCTCTTTAGACCCGTATTTCACTCTATATGATGGGCTTTTCTCTGGTTGTTTAACTTGTTTTCTTGTGTTTGACCTTGATTACTTTTATCTTGTCTTTTATGTAATTTTGATGCGAAGCAGCTTGTGGTTTTTATCTGTCTTTTATTCATCTATGTAAATAAAAATCCTTGTTTAGACTCAGAACTGCTGGCAGAACCAAAAGCTTTGAATTTTCCCTGAAAGGACTGAGAAAGGGTTCAGTTCACAGCTAGTTAATCAGAAGAGTAAAGTTTTATGTTTTAAGATAAAATCCTGTTTTGTTTTGTTTTTGTTTTTGTTTTTTGTTTAAGTTATGTACATTCTGCCTGAAAGCAAGTCTTATTTAAAAATCCTCAATTATAAAAATAAATACCCAGATTCCTGGCTGTAAAGCCCTGAACAAGCAAAATGTTTGACACTCGATTGGCTGAACATGAAGTATTTCACCAAGACCAGCAGGTTGTAACAAACCACCAGAGAGAAAAAGGATAATCTGTGTTTTGAGTTCTGCTCAGTTTGGAGGCAGCCATGCGAACTGGGCCACCGAGCAGAGATAATTGGACCTGGAATTAAAAGTCAAAAATGCAAATGAGGTTGTGGATATGGCAGCAGGTCAAGATGATGTCTGGACACTTGACCTATTTTCTGACGTGAAAAGATGCATTTCTTGCAGAGTCTTAGTCTGGATTAAGAAATGAGAAATGAATTGGAATAACCAGTTCAGACCAGGGATTAGAATATGACTCCATACAGGAACAAAAAGGATAATCCACAGGTCGGACAGGACTCAATCTGGAACCCTGAGGTGGTATTAGCAGTGACTATATTTTCTGTTCTTTATGTATCAACCTCCTTGTTGTCTGAAGCGTGCTTCTTCCATTTACACTTTTATTGGTTTTGTTTAGGACCTCTGACCTGTAGGCTCCAGTAGAGTCCTGTAGGCTTCTATAGGGACCTGTAGAGTCCTGTAGGCTTCTGTAGGGACCTGTAGGCTTCTGTAGGGACCTGTAGAGTCCTGTAGGCTTCTGTAGGGACCTGTAGAGTCCTGTAGGCTTCTGTAGGGACCTGTAGAGTCCTGTAGGCTTCTGTAGGGACCTGTAGAGTCCTGTAGGGACCTGTAGGCTTCTGTAGGGACCTGTAGAGTCCTGTAGGCTTCTGTAGGGACCTGTAGGCTTCTGTAGGGACCTGTAGACTCCAGTAGAGACCTGAAGGCTTCAGTAGGGACCTGTAGAATCCTGTAGGCTTCTGTAGGGACCTGTAGGCTCCAGTAGAGACCTGTAGGCTTCTGTAGGGACCTGTAGGCTCCAGTAGAATCCTGTAGGGACCTGTAGGTTCCAGTAGAGACCTGTAGGCTTCTGTAGGGACCTGTAGGCTCCAGTAGAGACCTGTAGGTTTCTGTAGGGACCTGTAGGCTCCAGTAGAGACCTGTAGGTTTCTGTAGGGACCTGTAGGCTCCAGTAGAGACCTGTAGCCTTCTGCAGAGACCTGTAGGCTCCTGTAGAGTCTTGTAGGATTCTGTAGGCTCCTGTAGAGTTCTGCAGAGTCCTAAAGGGACCTGTAGAGTCATGTAGAGATCTATACAGTAGGCTCCTGTCGAATCCTGCGGGCTTCTGTAGGGACCTGTAGAGTCCTGTAGGGATCTGCAGGGACCTGGTACTGACCTGGGCTGCTGAGGTACATTTTGCTGCTGTATGTTTGAGTTATTTTCTCTGCTAACAGTTTGGTTTCATATTATTGACAAGAGGGTGAGAAGAAAAGTCTTCATCCAGGATATATACAGTGTTTTATCACTGAGAGCCTGATGCAAGATCTCACAGAGTCTCAGGACCGTTCGGCTGTTTGTGGTGGACAATCTAGTCTGAGCAAAAAATAAAAAAAATAAAAATACAAAAAAATATCCAGAAACATACAGTAAAACCATTAATAAACCGTCCTTATAAAATATTTACAAATTACCACCTAAAGTTTGTGCTTTGAGGGAGGAGAATGAGTAAACCCTGATTACTGGGATTAATATCCTCAGAGATCCAGTTTTAATTACAGACATTATTAGAAAATTCATGTGAAATCCACCAGATTATCATTATCAAAGATAAAAAAAGATCACAAACCAGTTTGTTATAATCGTCTTTAGTATTCATGGTAGTTTTTGTTTTGTTTTGTCTTGTTTATTTATTTATTTATATTTTTGGTGGGGGTGGGGCTGCTACGTTAGATACAGTATCATTAAAAACATATATATTCTCTCCCACCCCCCTGTTCTGCTGGGCGGGGTGGGCAGCTCTTCATCATAAACTCAGGTCCTTTACCAGAGGCCAGAGAGCTTGAGGGTTGTTCACAGTATTTTAGCTGTTTCTAGGGCTGAGCTTTTCTGGACTGAGATGTCAGATGTTTCTCCAGCTATCTGCTGGACCCACTTATCCACCATGGGGGTCACTGCCCCAGGGGGCTCCGGTAACCACGGGCACTGCGGTTGCATTCACCTGTCAGGTTGGTTCTAGCTCTTCCCTGAGCCCTTGGTGTTCCTCCAATTTCTTGTGTTCATTTTTACTGGTGGTCATATGTATGTGTGTATGTATGTATGTATGTATGTATGTATGTATGTAT